ATTATAATGATCCAATTGCTAACACTATCCAAAACATTCTATATAGCTCTTAGATATGCTCAAGTTTTACACCCGTTTCGARATCAACGATGTGACGGGCAACTCGTTGACTGATCATGATATGACCCAGCTGCATTATAAAAAGATTACGTCTCTGCAGCGCGCTGTGTTTGCCAAGTTCTCTACGTTGCGCATCTTTGCATTATCCAATGTGGCGTCAGTTGACACTCGTGAATCGCTAGAGAAACATTTTGGCGCATTGGATGCAGATGGGCTAAAGCAAATAGCCACCTTTCTTAATCTTGTGCCCGAGGAAGCCGTGGAGCCATTCGAATGGCATCGCTTGGATGAACAGTTCCTGCGTGAACTTCTCATCATGCGACATGAGAAACGATGCTCGCAGCTGGAAGCGCTGAACGAGATGCCGCTCTATCCCACAGAGCAGATCATTTGGGATGAAAATGTTGTGCCATCCGAATATTATACGGGCGACACTTGCCTGGCTCTGCCCAAGCTAAATCTACAGTTCCTCACGCTCCACGATTATCTGCTTCGCAATTTTAATCTATTTCGTCTGGAGTCCACCTATGAGATCCGACAAGATGTTGAGGATGCTGTCAGTCGGATGTTGCCGTGGCAGTCGGAAGACGGTGATGTTGTCTTTGGTGGTTGGGCACGCATGGCACTGCCTATCACCAGCTTCGCTGTGGTCGAGGTAGCCAAGCCGCATCTGGGCGAGAAGAAGCCATCGCGAGTGCGTGCCGATGTGGGGGTAACGCTCTCAGTACGCCGCGAGATCAAGGAGGAATGGGAGAATCTGCGGAAGCACGACGTCTGCTTCCTTATCACGGTCAAGCCCACGATGCCGTACGGCACAAAGTATAATCCACGGGAGCCGTTCATACCTCAAGTAGGTTTGGTTAGCGTGCGGGGCTGCGAGGTGGAAGGCATGCTTGATGCTAATGGGCGTGTCATTGAGGACGGGCCAGAACCGCGGCCCATGTTGCCGGGAGAGCAGCGGAGCTATCGAGTGTGGCTGGACTCCAATCAGTATCGCATGGACATGGACGACTTGCAAGAGGTGAGCTTACAATATCATCAGTTGGTCGGTAATGCTTACTTGATTTTTTAGGGTGCCGACGACGTCTATGAGAGTTTCAACATTTTGATGCGTCGCAAGCCAAAGGAGAACAATTTCAAAGCCGTGCTGGAGACCATTCGGCATCTTATGAACACGGAGTGCGTGGTGCCTCCCTGGCTACATGACATACTGCTAGGCTATGGCGATCCGGCAGCGGCTCACTACAGTAACATGCCTAATCAGGAACGCACTCTTGAGTTCAATGACACCTTTCTTGACTACGAGCATCTAAAAGCCAGTTTCCCCGACTACGAACTCAAGTGCGAAGCGCCTGAGGAAAACAGGTCCCCGCCCTATCGTCTCACATTTGAAGATGTGGCTAAGCAGCGTGACAGTGATACGGAGGAAATGGAAACGGATCAGCCTCCCATTTCTAAATCAATTGTTGTACAGCCTTATAAATTCGAGGCGAGAGGTCCCTATCCTAGCGACAAACCCAAACAGTAAGTGTGTATGCCAAATGTATAGAAACAAAATCTTATTAAATTTGCCTCCCTAGGAATTGCATACGCTTTACGCCCACACAAATCGAGGCGATACGCGCTGGCATGCAGCCGGGTCTTACCCTGGTGGTTGGTCCTCCTGGCACGGGAAAAACAGATGTCGCCGTTCAGATTATCTCAAACATTTACCACAATCAGCCCAATCAACGCACGCTGATTGTGACACACTCAAATCAAGCTCTAAATCAGCTGTTCGAGAAGATTATGGCTCTAGATATTGATGAGCGGCATTTGCTGCGTCTGGGTCATGGTGAAGAGGCGCTAGAAACCGAAAAGGACTTCAGTCGCTATGGACGTGTTAACTATGTGCTGGCCAAGCGTATGGATTTACTTACTCAGGTTCAGCGATTGCAGGAGGCGTTGAATGTTAGCGGCGATAATGCCTACACCTGCGAGACGGCAGGATACTTTTATCTGTACAATGTGATGGCACGTTGGGAGAAGTTTCAAAGTCAAATGCTAGCTTATAGTAAGGAAACGGATATGAGTAAGCTTTGTGCGCTGTTTGAAGCTGAATTTCCGTTTTCCAAGTTCTTTGCCGATGCGCCACAGCCACTCTTTAAAGGAGACAGCTTTGATGATCTTATGAGCATAGCGCAGTCTAACTTTCGATATATCTCCGACATATTCACGGAGCTGGAGGAATTCCGCGCCTTTGAGCTGTTGCGCACAGGTTTAGATCGCTCCAAATATTTGCTTGTCAAGGAGGCCAAAATCATTGCCATGACCTGTACACATGCAGCGCTCAAACGCAAGGAGCTCGTGAATCTAGGCTTTCGTTATGACAACATATTAATGGAGGAGTCGGCGCAAATCTTGGAAATAGAGACATTTATACCGCTACTGCTGCAGAATCCGCTGGACGGTCTCAATCGCCTGAAACGCTGGATTATGATTGGTGATCATCACCAGCTGCCACCCGTCATTAAGAACATGGCGTTCCAGAAGTACTCGAACATGGAGCAGAGTTTGTTCACTCGTTTGGTTCGCCTGGGCGTACCAACTGTTGATTTAGATGGTCAGGGACGTGCTCGTTCCAGCATTTGCTCGCTGTATAAATGGCGCTACAAGAAACTGTCAGACCTGCAGCACATCTTCGAGCATGATGAATATAATCACGCAAATACTGGCTTAGCCTACGATTACCAGCTGATTAATGTGGAAGATTTCAAGGGCGTGGGCGAAAGTGAACCGAATCCTTATTTCTATCAGGTAAGTGTAAATATTATTGAATATTCATGAAAAATTTATTACCAAGCTTTCTCAATCAGAATCTTGCTGAGGCAGAGTACATCGTTGCTCTTTACATGTACATGCGTTTGGTTGGCTATCCAGCTGCGAAGATATCAATTCTAACCACCTACAATGGACAGAAGCATCTCATTCGCGATGTTATCAATGCTCGATGTGGTAACAATCCGCTTATTGGTTGGCCGCACAAGATCACCACCGTGGACAAGTACCAGGGCCAGCAGAATGACTTCATCTTAATTTCATTGGTGCGTACAAAGGCTGTTGGCCATTTGCGAGATGTGCGTCGCTTAGTTGTAGCTATGAGTCGAGCACGTCTCGGATTGTACATCTTTGGACGCGTATCGTTATTCAAGAATTGCCTGGAATTACAGCAGACCTTCAAGTTGGTAAGTGGAGCAAGTGAGAAATGCTAGACACCGAAACTAATCTAAGTATATTCCAGCTCATGCAGCGACCATTAAAGTTACGTCTGGTGCCAGCTGAAGAATATCCAACCAAGCGACTTACGAGCGAAACGCCATCTGACGATGTTTGTAAAACCATAGAAAACATGTCTGAGATGGCGCAGTTTGTCTATGAGCTTTACATGACTAAAATGGAGGAGCTCAAGAAGACGCTGCCCACTGAGGAAGAGATGCAAGCCATGCGTAGCCAGCTACCAAAGGACGATGCAGATGATTCTGATAACGATGCATCAGCGATTGCAACKGAAGCCAATGAACAGCCGCCACAGAAAAAGGTAGCAAAGGATAATACTAAAAAGACSCAAGAAGCATTTAAGCCCACGCCAATAATTAACGAGATCAACGTAGACGAGCCTGAAATGGAACAGCAGGAAACGCAAGGCCAAGAGGCTGACGCTCCCACTACAGAGCAGGAAACTGTTGAATCRAAACAGGAARCTTCTTAGCGGATGCACATAACATTTAATTCCAATCATTTTTAACAATTTATTAAATGCGGCAAAATGACCGCACACACATAATATAACCCTTTTACTTCTTCGGTGCTGTGATGCCCTCCAGYTGGGCCTTGAGCTGYGCATTAGTCTTCTTAAGGAATGTGATCTCCTCAGTGAACTTYTTCTCCTCGGAGGCGCGCAATTCGGCATTACGACGTTCCGCTTGCTCCTGTTTCATTTTCATGTCGGAAATGATTTCCTCCAGAGCTTCCTTATCTGACTCCAATGTCTTTACACGATCGCGCAGCATTTCCTTCTCTTCGTGTGCCTGCAGAGCTTTTCGCATGCCAAACGCCACAGAGCTACAGTAGAGAGTTTCGTAGGCTTCCATAGACATTGCAATCTCGTCACGAATGCGCAACAAGAGTAATCCGCGCTCCGAGCAATTGATTGTTACCTGACGTATAATCTCATCTGTATTGGGAAACTTATTAGAGTGTGTATGAAAGTAAATTCAGCAAGTAATAGTTCACCAAAGCACTGAGAGTAGAGCTCGCGACGAACGGGGCAGATGCCCGTCTCGCGGGCCTGTGTTTGCTGTAGGCGAGTATCTAGCATTTCCTGTAAATTGATAACATCCTGGCGAGTGGCCGGTGTGCTGGACACAGACTGCTGCCATAGTTGACCATCCTCTTCCCAGCAGCGTGGAGGTAATATAGAGTTCAATATCTCCTCTGTCTCTTTCTTGGTATCTAGAAGGGCGCCTGCTGTTTGAGGGCGCTTCATTTCCATCTCCGTCAGCGGAGCGCCCTTCTTGTCCGGATGCTTGACAACCAGCACCGGATTATTGTAGCGGACCAGGGTCTGGAAGTGGCCCACATTTGCAATTTCCATTTCATCCATCTTGCTGATTTTGGTGCTCTTCGATCAATTTCAAATCAAAACAGAAAAACAATAAGGTAATCTATGGAAAATATAATTGTGTGTATTCGATCCGACGTGTTCAACAATTTTTGTTGATTTGAAAAGCTGAAATGCCTGTATTGGGGAAACATCGAAAAGAGGCTTGACTTTGTTTATTGTTCCTAGCAACTGTTACAGTCGAGCAACGGAGAAAACTTTTGTTTACCGGCCAAATATCAACAGGTGGAATGGGTTTGTTAACCAAARRGGATGTGGCTTACAAAAACATATGCTATTTGTTTATTTGATTGTTTATTATATCGTATTCATACTGTAAATGCAAACAAATGAGTTATGACTCTGTTCTCATGGACTCCATAGAACAGTTGATGTTGCACAAACGTCTTCTATGTATTTTTATAATAATATCTTGAACTAAATATATTTAACTTATGTGTATGAGCAAGCGCGGCTAATTAAACTATGAACTTAAGGACTAATAGTTAAAGACCGAAACTAACGTAATACGAATTGGAAGAGCAAATAATTTAGTCTTTTTCTAAATGGTATAACTTAGTAATACATAAAAGTGAGTTCGCGTTTAAACTAATATCGCGGCGTTATTCAAGTCGAGTAAATCAATTATATTAACCATAACTAACGCTTACATATTACGCTAGACATCCATATTTTCAGTAGATATATATAGGTATATATTTATATGCATGTATATATATATGTGCGGTTTGTTCATATATATTATTGTCATTATTTATGCGGGAGAAATTCCACTATGGGGTTTAGTTTGTAGCCGTTTACACACTTTAATACGTTAGTATTATAAAGTTTCATTTTGTTTCTTGATTAGTTGAGCTTGAAATATTCGTTAGCATATTACATACCACTACGCTATATATATATGTATATGAATATAATTGTGTATATGATAGTGTCTGTATATGCACTTATATAAAGTTATATTTACGCAACGGCTAACTCGGAAAATGCAAAAATTATATGAATTGAACTAAATCGTATCTACGGGTTCTCTATATAGTTAGCTACTACAACATTTACAATTCAGATTTTAGCTGCAGATTGAACTGCTTAAATAAGCTCGGCTACGGCGTCGTCACCATCCCGTATTGGTGCCTGGAATGTGGAGCCCGTGAACTCGTACATCTGCAAAATGAAGAGKWCCCAAATTATTTTCTAACTATATGCATTCTATATGCATTGGTCAATATCTTACAGAAGGAGCTCGATTATTGCGAAGCGTTGCATAGTCCGCAAAATCATTGCCATGCGGATCAATACGTGTTAGAAGCAGGCCAGCACCGCCAATCCCACCGCCACTGGCTGCACCACCGCTTCGCATGGAAATGGAGCCACCACCACCGTTGCCACCAGAGCCGGCAGTCAGGCGATTCTGATTGTTGCGTGGCTGGATGGTGGCATACGTGTTGTCCACCGACTGGCCATGATGCACCTGTTCCAGGGAACTGCGATGATCTAAATGACCTGGAGCATCTGAGTTAGATATGTGATCAGGCTCCGAAAATACTTGCATGGTCAACTCTTGCTCCTCATACAGCTTGAGTTTTCTACGAATAAATAGTAGTCAAATAAATGAATGAAATTTAAGTTAAGATTAAGGAGTACATACTGTTCAATCCAGAGCGGATTCTCCGTCGTATTCAAGTCCTCGATAATTTGCTTTTTGATCAAGGCCTCCTTGCGACGTGTCTCTACGGGCACTGAGAGATTCCAATGCTTCAGACAGCAGCAGAGTACAATGAAGCTAATTACGCCCACAAATAGCACTATGACCAGTGCGACAAGACCAGCCACGGCCAAATCAAACTCATCCTGCACAATCGCTATATAAGCAGGCACAACATTCTCTATGGCAAAGCCTGCATAGTAATCCTATAACGGGAGATGCGCGTGGATTATATCATTGATTATTGAAATTTAAAAAAATATATACCTTGAGATAATCATAGTTTCTGTCAATATCCTTCAGAATTTCATCGACGGGCGCTATTTGCTGTGACTGCGGATCCACGGCATGGAAATACAAATCGCACCAATCCATGCGAATACGCCCAATAGAGTCCAAATGGAAACGAATTTCGTCCACAATGATGCGATGCTGCGTAGCATTGCGTAACTCGGCTATGATCTCTTCCTGCTCCTGATAGACTTCCTCTGGTGGCCGGGATAGAATCACCCTGACCAATTGAGTACCATCAAATACCCAAATCTGAAAACCATAAATTATTAAATATAATCTCTCAATGTCTCTCGCAGCCTGTTAACTTACATTAACTTTGGTGTTCGCCGAGCGTTGCGGCTGCTCCAGTTCTCTAGCCACAATCTCCAACTCAAACCGATCTTGGTTGTACTCCGCCATTATTGTATTCGCTGTGATACGGCCATCTTGCGATATGGCAAACGGACTGGGCACAATGGAGCCCGTTGATTTTGTGGCACCGAATTTGTACAGATTTGAGGCAACGATCATGTACTCAATCTTGGCATTTTTACCCTGATCCGCATCCGTAGCATTTACCATCGTGATGGCCGCATTCATTTTGGCATTGGCATTGACTCCCGCATAATAAACGGGTTTCTCAAATACCGGCGCATTATCATTTACATCGAGCACGGTGATAGCTACCTTAGCGACTGTATTGTCTCGATTCAATGTCTTGATCGAAAACGAGGCGCGCTCCTCTTCAGATATATGTAAATCCGCCTTGATGCTGGCCAATATGTACAGAGTATACGCGTC